TCGTTCTACCAAGGCGCTTGGCGGCGTGGTGCCGTTGGACCTGTAAAGGCTGTGATTCTCCGGATACCCTTCAACGTAATAGATTAGCATGTTCACGCGGATAATTCTATTTCGCAACCCCCCTTCTTTGGCAACCCCACTGTAAATTGAGGGGTTGCCAAATAGAAACGGATGATTTGTCAGAACTCTTCTGATGACGGCTGATGGCGGGCGAGGCGGGATAGGGCGGGAAGTAGCCCAATCCCCTCCTAACAAGGAAGATACAGTGAAAAAAATACTCGAAAAATTCACTCGCAAGGACATTCATCTCAGGCAGCTATTCAAATTTTCTTGGGGCTCTGCCGCATAAAGTGCCGAAGATTTTCAGGTGTTTTGCGCTGTGACTCCCTTGAAAAGGCGAAAAGTATTCAAAAAGAGCCCAGGAAATTGAGAAAAAACTGAGGGTGACAACGATTCAAGATCCAGCCACATTTTATGCCTGCACAAGGGATGGATGCCCCTCATTGACTCTCCAAGTAGCGGGAGATTGATTTAAACCCTTTTTCTTCCTTATCTTATCTCTAACTTGGGGTTGCTAAATAGAAGATTTCTATTTGGCAACCCAGGGTTCACCGGCAAGGGGGGTTGCCAAATAGAATTATCCTGTTCACGCAGATAAAGAGGAAAAGAAGAACAAACTGAACAGCGCCCGCCAAGGGATCTGACCGTTGACAGGCTGTCCACGTCATGCAACGAGGCAGAGCTAATTACACCAGTAAGTGATAGAGCAGTTTTTGCGAACCTGTGTGCTGTTCAAATTTCCCTCGCGGGGCGGTATTGAATGTGGGGATAAACCCCTTGATGATATCGAATTCCAAATGAACTTGAGCTGTCCATTATTATTTGGTTAAAAATACGCTCAAATAAGCGCGCAATGCTGTAAAAAAATAAACACGAAACTCGGCGGCGGTAGAGCACCGCAATACAGCTTCCTACGTGTCTCCCACTCTCTTCTGCTCCTCCATGCCACTCTTTACATCCGCCTCTGGCTTCCAAATTACTGGCGGGACTTTCATCGACAATGCAGGGGACATAAATATCCATACCACGCAGATTGTGCAAGGGCCAACGACTGGTGCACTAGAATTGTGGGCGGAAGGCCCGAGTCATGAGTTGTTGGGGGTAGAGCGAAGCCGCCAACATATTGGAGCTGCCAGGGTTCAACCATATAGTATGTCACCTGCCCTTTGAGATTAACAGGACCTAACAAGACCAAAAAGATGCTTCTGATCGCCCACAAATCCTAAGTGGGGCCAAGAGTGGGGCACAGAGCTCATCCATCCTTGTCGCAGATGGAGAGTCTTGGTCCAAATCCGGTCCATCGGTGTTGAACCCTACCCTCCCATTTTCCCCACAGGAACCTGGATTCTCCTCCTTCGAGTCTCATGAGCCATTTCATGACTCACATTTCGCACCAATGTCAGCTATGCGGGAGGTTGGCAACGACATTTCGCCCTCAAATAATCTGTCAGCTGCACTTGTTCCAGACCCCTTCCCATCTACCTATATGGTTTCAGAACAAACAGAAGATGGATTTGCTCCATCTTTGCATCCTCCGAGCACAACAGTGGATACATCCATTTCTTATCCCTCAGTTAACTTGGGGCTCTCGACAGACCAATTTAGGGAACCTGCAGATGTTCGCAATGATACTAGTTCTGTTGCTGCTATCAGTTGCCTCCCTTGGGATGACCCAACCTGTGAGCTGAAAGCCATTAGTGGTGGGACATTCATCGGCGGGAATGTGAATTATATTGTGATCCCACCAAGTAAGATTCCCATTTGAATAGTGTTGCTCCATTTTTACCTGGGTTTCCAGATGTCTCAATTGCTCAAGCAGCTCAACAGACTAACAATTGCCCTCCACCATCCAGAATCTTCCAAGGAAGACAGACAATCCGTGATGAAATGAATCAATTTTTTAATCAGGACATTCAAAAGCAACACATTTATTTGCTGTATGGACTAGGTGGTGCAGGAAAAACACAAATTATGCTGAAATTTATCAGTGACTCATCATAGTAAGTCAAAATTGGACAAAAAAATTATTAAAACACTTCTCATGGGCCTAGCTTTACAGACAAATTTTTCCTTGATGCAAGCACAAAGGAAACTATTGATACAGGTCTAAAAGAGATTGCTGTAGCAAAAAATGCTGGCAACTCTGCACACGATGCATTAAAGTGGCTGGTAGACAATCATGAAAAGTGGCTGCTATTCTTTGACAATGCAGATGATCCAGAGATTGACCTGAATACCTTTCTCCCTAAGTGTAATCATGGCAACATTGTCATCACTTCTCGAAACCCTGGACTCTGTGTCTATGGTGGATTACACTCTCCCGTATCTGATATGGAAGAAACAGATGCTGTGGCATTATTACTCAGGAGTGCAGCCCAAGAGCCTTCATCAACAAATGAAAAAAGTTGCAGCCAAGATTGTGAAGGTGAGTGGTGGATCATTCATGTATCTATGGGACTGGAACCCATGTTTCCTAGGAACTGTACCACCTTCCTCTTGCCATTGTCCAAGCCGGAGCATTCATATCGCAATCTGGTGCCCTGGACAGTTATTTGGATCTCTATATGCAAAATCAGACCCAACTGCTCAAAGAAAAACCAGCTCAGAGTCATGATACCTATTCCGGGACTGTGCATACAACATGGCAAATGAGCTTTAACAAGCTCAGTCAGCCAGCTGCTATGTTCTTACAACTTTGTTCCTTCCTCCACCGTGATGGAATTTCAGAGGAAATATTTAGCAGAGCTGCCAGATACACCTTTCCATCTTTTGGTCCATCTAAAGAGGAACTAGAAAAGCCACTACAATTCCTCTCACAATTCTTGAACCCTACTGGTCAATGGGACTCTCTCTGCTTCTTGAAAGTCACCAATGAGATCAAGGCATATTCCCTAGTCACCTTTGATCCAGAGAGAAAAGTGTTTTCAATTCATCCACTAGTGCACATTTGGAGTCAAACAACAATTCCAGATCAACAGTTATATCATTCAATTATGGGTGCTGTAGTGGGGATGTCCATTCAAGAAATCCCTTCCAAAGATCACCAACTCACCAGTCTGCAATTGATTTCTCATATTGACTCTCTGATGCATGCAAATCAGCAGCTGGCCACAGATTTTGGTTTCCAGTGGGGAATGATATATTATTATGTGGGACGGTATGAAGAAGCCAAGGAACATTTTCTGCCAATATTAGAGAAACAAAAAATTCTTGGTGATGATCATCCAAGTACTCTCCAGGCTATGAGTAATCTGGCAACAACATATTCCAGTTTAGGTGAGTTACACAAGGCAATAGAGCTGAGAGTTATAGTGCTGGAGAGGCAAAAAAGGGTTCTTGGTGATGACCATCCAGATACTCTGTCCACTATGCATAATCTGGCATCAACATATTACACTCTAGGCAAGTTCCACAAGGCAGAAGAGCTAGGAGTTGTAGTACTGGAGAAACAAAAAATTCTTGGTGATGATCATCCAAATACTCTTTGGGCTATGAGTAATCTGGTAGGAACATATTACAGTGTAGGCAAGTTCCACAAGGCAAAAGAGCTGGGAGTTGTAGTTCTGGAGAAGCAAAAAATGGTTCTTGGTGATGACCATCCAGACACCCTACGTACAATGGGTAAGCTAGCATATGCATATCACAGTCTAGACAAGTTGCACAAGGCAGAAGAGCTGGGTGCTGTAGTACTGGAGAAGCAAAAAAGGGTTCTTGGTGATGACCACCCAGATACTCTAGATACAATGGGTCAGCTGGTAGCAACATATCATATGTTAGGAGAGTTCCCCAAGGCAGAAGAGCTGTGTATTGTTGTGCTGGAGAAGCAAAAAAGGGTCCTCAGTGATGACAATCCATATACTCTTCAGACCACAAATAGTCTGTTATCAATATACTACAGTCTAGGCAAGCTCCACAAGGCAGAAGAGCTAGGAGTTGTAGTACTGGAGAAGCAAAAAAGGGTTCTTGGTGATGACCATCCAGACACCTTAAATGCTATGGCAACACTAGGAGCAACATATCACAAACTAGGGGAGTTACACAAGGCGAAAGAGCTAGAACTTGTAGTGCTGGAGAAGCGAAAAAGGGTTCTTGGTGTTGACCATCAAAATACTCTACTCACAATGGATAGTCTGGCATCAACATATTGCAGTTTAGGAGAGTTACACAAGGCAAAAGAGCTGGAACTTGTAGTGCTGGAGAAGCAAAAAAGGGTTTTTGGTGATGATCATCCAGATACTCTAATTATGATGAATAATCTGGCATTAATATATTCCAAACTAGGGGAGTTACACAAGGTAATAGAGCTGAGAGTTATAGTGCTGGAGAGGCAAAAAAGGGTTCTCGGTGATGACCATCCAGACACTCTACGTACAATGAGTAATCTGGCCTTTACATATCGCAAGCTAGGGGAGTTCTACAAGGCAGAAGAGCTGGGAGTTGTAGTGTTGGAGAAGGGAAAAAGGGTTCTTGGTGATGACCATCCAGCCACCTTACGAACCATTCGAAATCTAGCACTCACATACCGCTGTCTGAACAAACTAACAGAGGCGGAGGAGCTGGAGAACTTGCTGGTGACAATGAGTAGCATTGGAGGGTCTTCTCAATGAAACATCATGGTTCAGAAGATAATCATTGAAACTCTGGTGAATAGTGTTTTGAACTTCTATACTCTTTCCCTTGTACTACATATTTATAATGAATCACATATTTTATGCCAGTTAGTGGCTTTGAGAAGTATATGTTTATGTCAAAAAAAGCTCCATGGTAAGTACATCCCGAAAAGAGGTGAATGAAGCAATGATTTAATACATGAAAACCACACTCCTTTCCAAAACGTAATTGATCAAAGAAAAAAAAACGAAATTTGACTACGCAGAAAAGTTACATGAGTTGAAGAAACCGAGACCCATCCTAGTGAACCTCGAACAATAACTTTCATCGCATTAATGGGGTAGTGGTAACCTGGGTCGTTGCCACATTCACATTCGAGTTACGTAATGAAACTCGACCCGCCGGGGGTTCGATTCCCTCTTAATGCATATCACGTAGCCAAACATTTTTTTCCCTTTTTCCTTATCGTGACACTTTCGGATCATTCGTTATTCGATGAGCTTTGCCTGGCCATTATATCTCGCCGCCGGTATTTTTCGGCGATTTTTTGGATTAAAAGCCCCAATATTTCAGCCGCAGGCCATCTATTGTCAGAAACCAGCAACACCGCCGCTGTGAGGATGCACTTATGAAGACATTTGATGAGATTTGAATTTCTGAATTCACCGATGTGCGGGCATGTTTGTTGGTTGCAGTTTGTAAGCTTGAATACACGAGACAAACTACATGGTACAATTGTCGAAGCTCATACTTGGTAAATCTGTAAATCCACAAGATCCACTTAGAATTGAAGCGGTGTTTTCTTTGTCAGACTGAGCTGTGTAGGGGCTCTTGAGCTCGGGCCTGGCCGCAGATGATGCAAAATTTTGAGTTGGGACCAACTCTGGGCCCTTCGTGAGCTTGAAGTCAGGCTAGGCTGGGCTTGTGCAGGACACATGGAACTCGTGTGTACCAAAGTTGACAGCCTTGTTTGAATTCTCGGTTAACATACTGCATCGGCAAAGAGACCGAACTTCGCACAATCTAGGTTCTATGTAGGACGGAATTTTGAGTCTATGTGCGGCCCCTGAGGCCTCGAAGAAATTGCTCATCTTATTATTGCATGTAAGGAGGGGTGAAATATATCCGTTATTATGGATAGCACTGGGGATGACATGGTAGATTGAGTGAGTCCTCGTGGATCGAGCCGTAGATCAGGTTGATTTATGGATCTTCTCCCCCGTTCTGCCCTCCCTTCCTTGACCTTCCACGCCAGGCACTCGTTAAAACTTCAAATTTGATTTCTACCTGAGGCGGTCGGTAACTTGGTGTAATGTAACAGTAAAGTCGAGCTGGTCGATTCCGGTGAATGTCGATACTCGTGCGTAGAAAACATAGCAGCCCGTCGATTGAATTGAAAATTTCCCGCATTCGCTCAGCTCAAATAAATACGTGGTTGGTTGTGTCTGGGACGAGTTCGACGCTAATACTGGAATAATCCACGTTCTGCAACGAGATGGCAGTTCGACGATCGGAATTCATATTACAACACTACTGTCTATGAGGCGGGTTCACACATCAAACCATTTCATCGTTGCAAAATTTAAACCATTGGACGGAGTTGACTCGTCTTGGGCCGGGTGCAGGAGAGTGTGCGTGAGGATGTGCGGGTGCAGAAGAGTTCTGATCTGCAGCCGGTTATTCTGAATACGATTCAGATTGTGTATTTTTGGCCATGGGTGCAATAGATATGCGCCAAAAAATAAAACGAACGTGCAGTGGTGCACGGTCCCTCGGAATCAGAATCACCTTGTGTATTTCTCTCAGCTCAAGCTTGGTCCGGAACTCCGAACTGCGACACCGCAGCAGCAGCAACCATGAGTACCTCTGAATCCCCGTCGGCGAGATCAGTGTCAATTCGCCACAATCAACTCTTCCGTCGGATCCTCGGAACCTAGGGATCAGAACAAAAAAATTAAGGTTTGAACTTGCGATCAGACGGATTGGGAAGTTAGGTCCGGACGCAACTTTTTTCTGAGATTTGAGTTTGATTCGCAGGGGGGGGGGGGACTAAAAGCGCGCGTCTGTCGATCCTGATATATATGATCCCCACAGATCCCCATATTCGTTGATTCCAAGCGAGATAATGCCTCCGATAAGCAATGTTGCGCGGTGTTTAACGTTCAATACCGAGACGGATCACTGAACGCTAGGGTGTGTATGACATGTGCATGTTGCATAGAAGTCGTTTGCCTGCCTGCCTGACTCGGGCTGAATGAGAATTTACTCACATAAGTGTACGGGGTTTCCGGTTTAGTGCTAAGTGCGCAGCAGGTACCGTGTTTCCTGAAGGGATCAGCTGCAGACGTCGTAAGGCGGGATTAAGTGAGGTTACTTAAAAGGAGCTCGCTCGTGTTTATTTGACGAGATCACTCGCGGTAATGTCCGAGTCGTCTTTCTTCCTTCCGGGATGGGGAATTTGAATACGGAGACTCGAATTTCGAATCATTATTCTTGAATCTTGGCTGAACAGATGTCGGCGTCGGTGTGATAATAGACCGCGGCGGGGTTTCCTGTTTCGTCAAATTGTCATCGACCCCGAGTCAACAGGTACCGCTCCCTGTTCTGAACGGATCAGACATGAGTCTACATGAGTCAAAACGAGCCCAGGTTCAACTACGAGAATGCCTTCCGATCAGCAATGGCGTCTTTCTCCTGAATCGATGGCGAATGTTTTACACAAAAACGGATCAGCGATTGCAAAGAGAAGAAGCTATACATGTGAAGTTCGTGAGTGAAATTTCAACTCCCACATGAACGCTCTCAAAAGAGGCAAGAGAAGTACTATAGATGGGTTTTGAACGCAAATCCCTTACGTCTGGTCTGATCCGTCGCAGAGCATCGGGGTCAATAGGATAAAGACTTGTGCGATGCCAATCAATTGAATAAGGAGGCATCTCCTTTCGATGGCAAATGGCCCGCTGCCCGCATCGTGCGCGTGTGTCAACGTACATAACCAATACGATCACGATGCCGGCGCGTCCCCTCCCCGCACGCGTCTCCCCTCCTTCCTCCCTCTACGCGTCGTGAAAGACGAGACGAGGAGGGATGGGAAAAAACACAGGTGCACGTGCCTCGGAGTCAGACAATGTCCGTGCCGAGCGGCGGCCGTTTTGTTTAGGTATTTGCACAGGCTTGGCATCGCCTTCTCCGTCGTCTCGTCGCCCATCCGTCCTACTCGTAAGCAAGAGCAAAAGAAGCACCGCCGCTCTCCTCCCCCGCAAATAATCAAGACAAGACATAGAACAGCACTGCATTGGAATATACGACGGACCAGGAATTACACGGAATAGAAGGAAGGATTTACTGACGACTGGAGACGAAGAAGAAGATTTGCAGCGTGGCGCAGCACGAGCACAACAAGCACACTGCGATTGAATATTGATGCCGCAACGCACAAGGAGCCCGCTTGGTCTCGGCGACGGCTCTACTGCTCCGTCTACCTCTGTACATCCACCTGGGGGTACGAGGAATAACCACGACACCGCCACGGGCACCAGTCCGAGGCGCAGCGCTCGTTTCGCACCGGCGTCGCCGCCGGTTGCGTCGACGTCGCGCGTGCAGCCTGTACACGCTCATGCTACCAGCGACGTGCAGCGTATCCTGCGCCCTGCTTCTGCGCGCCGGCTGAGCGCAAGGCGCAGGCTCTGGGTCTCGGTCTCGGCCTCCGTCTCGGTCTGGGTCTTCGGCTTTCGTCCACGGATGACTCGGACGCAGCGTCGTCGAGGTCGAGGGAAGCCTCGTCGTCGACGGAGGGGGAGAAGGAAGGGAAGGAGGGAGGAGGTGGTGGTGGTGGGCGGAAGCGCAAGAGCCCCGACCTGCACGAGGACGGGATGCGCAAGCGATTGCGGGTGCGGTGTCCGGCTGAGGTGGGTGTCGTTTCTTCCTTCTTCCTTCTTTCCTTTTGTGTTTTTTGGGGGGCTTGGTCGAAGAACAGACAGGGGCGAGGTGCACGCCCCGAACGCATGTTCTTTTACCCATTCGTCGCAGTGCGGTTATGCGCCCCTGCGCTGGTGCCGTGCGCTCGGTTGTGCGGCGTATCACTTCCCCTCGTGTCGTCGTCTCTGCGGGCGCCTACGCCTGACTCGGCTCGGGGGTCGATAGGCGCTCGTTGGTGCTTACGAGTCACCTCGTGTTTCTTTCCTTATTTTTTTGGGGGGCGGACGGCGGGAGTAGTGCCGTGAGCAGACGGATGCGAGCTCGCATTCCTTCTCTTACTCACTCTATCCCGAGGCGCTTTTTTTCTTAAATTTTTTTTTTTTTCGTCTCTCGTTTCTTCTCGCCGTCTTTGCTCTCCTCTCCTGCCTTGCGGAGCCTCCACCTCCGTCCGTTGTTCACCTCCGTCCGCTGGCAGCGCCGCCACGCCTCCATGCTCGCTGCGCCCAGATCCTTATCATCCGCTCACTGCTTGCCTCGCGTTTGGCGTTAGGCGCTCGCGCCTCGTGCCCCGTCTCTTTTTTATTTTACTTTTTACACTCTTTTTTTTGGCGGCGGGTCCTTGCTTTGCTTTCTCTCCTCCCCCTTACTCGTATCTCGTTTCTTAACCGCGCGGTACTGACCCTCATCTCAGCCTCACCCCCCACCCTCGCCCCCGCCCACCTCAACACGTAAAGGGAAGGGCAAGGCGCCGTCGCCGCCCTCTGCTTCTCCCAACCACTCGACACATACCGTAAGCCTTCTTCCTTCTTTCTTTCTACACTCTCTAGAGATCCTAAGCTGAATCAAACCCCCAGACATCCCGCACCTCCCCCCCACACCCGCACCCCCGCTCTTCCTCTTCCTCGTCCCCATCCTCATCCCCATCCTCCGCTTCGCGGCGTTCCCCGAGCGACACACATAAAAATTCAAGTACAAGTACGAATGCGACGAGTAGAAATGGAAATGCGAGTACGAGTAGTAGAAAAAACAGCGCGGCACAGGCGCCGCGCACGACGCGCGTGACGAGGCGGACGGCGAGGCAGATGGCGATGCAGATGCAGATGCAGGGAACGGGGGCGTTTGGGGTGGGTGTTTTTTCTTTTATTTCGTTTTTTTTTTGGGGGGGGGGTCTGTCTCCGCCGCTGCGTCCATGAGCTGTATGCTGCATGCTCAGCGGCTGCTACCTCTTTCTATTTCACCCCTGCTTCTTCCCTTCCTTCTCCTCCTCCTCCATCCCACCCATCCCGTCACGCACGCTTGAGCTTGCTCTACACATCTTCCCCTTCCGCTTCATACTGCCTCACTCCTTCCCCGCTCCTTCATCCGACCGTCCGCCTTTTCGTCGTTCACGTCATCCGTCCACTTCCTTTCCCCACCTTTTCCTCCCGCTCCTCCACCTACTTTCTATCCCTCCCTCATTCCGGACTCCACCACCCCTCGTCCTCGCTCTTTCCCTTCCTTCGCATCTACA